CTCAGAGAAGGGGATGGAGCCAGTGCTGGGAATTGGAGGAGGGAGAAAGGTCAGGGAGCTCATAGCAGACGGTGGGGGTTGGCTGCCAGCTTCTTCCTGGGTTTGTGCCAGAGTGAGGGAGGGCAGCAAAGGCCAGCCCTGCCGATGCTCTCTGGGCCTTGTGCGGGAAGCAGAAAAGGGGGGGAACAGTGCATGGGGTAACTTGGCGGTGCTGAGAGGGACAGGCTACGACTTCTGGGGGGCAGTGCTGTGCTGTCTGTCCCCAGCAGTGTTCCCAGGGGGGCCGGCGGGGCTTTGCCCTCTCTGTTCCGGCACTGTGGCCGAGAGCCAGAGAAGAGAGGTTTGTGGCAGAGTGGAGCATTTATCTGGGCCAGTGGCCAGCAAGATGGTGAGCTGTGGCCACCCTCCTGATGTCACTTTGCAGTATGGCTGTCCCTCCAATCAGCCCCTCCCTTTCCATGTTATGGAAAACAATTGAATTCCAAACACATCCCATTTTCCTGGCACCACCAAACCCTGATCTTGCTTTAAGTTAGGACAAGAGAAATTTCGAGTTGTATGGTCCTTGTTCTTACAGGTTAGGAGGAGTTCTTAAACAAATGGACTCCCAGACAGACAGATGGAATAGATGGACTCAGGGACAGACAGACAGATGCACAAATCTATCTATCTATCTATCTATCTATCTATCTATCGAGAGAAAGATGTGTAGATATCTTGCAATTCTATGTCTAGCAATTATATGTCAATATTAATGCATACAAGTGAAATGTCCGGTACGGCCCCAAGGAGAATGGCCAGTTCAAAGCAATTGTAATTTTCATTAAAACACTTACTAACTGCAAAATACATGGAAAAATACTAAAACTTAGCAAACATTATAGCCATTTTAAACTTGATGAAACTTGGAGATAAAGAAAATAAAATACAAGTTGAACCTTCCTTGATCTGTCACCCTCAGGGCCAGAGTGGTCCGGAACAAGGGAATTTGACAGACCAGGGGAGGTCAAGCATCCGGGCTCTCCTGGGGCTCCCCTCCTGGCTGTTGCCAGGGAGAACCCAGAGGCCTGAGTTCCTCTGGCTCACCTGCCTATCTCTGCTGCCCCCAACCCTATGTGGGGTGGCAGTTGCTCCCAGGGATCCCTGACCCCATGCGTGGGATGGCAGCTGCTCCCATGACTTCTGCCCCCAGATCACTGGCCCTGCAGGCTGCCACCGACGAGAGCAACTCCACTCCCAGCCGCTTTCAACTGCTGTGGCCAGAGCCCTCTGGTCTAGCTACATCTGTGGTCCTACCTTGACTCTTTGCAAGGATTCATAAAGAGAATTTGTTATATTCAGCAAAAAGGTGGTCTGGTTTGCAGTGCAGTGATAAGTAATTGGAAAATATATGATCTTGGTGAGAAACCATTGGAGAAATGTTTTAAAATATACGTATAATGTTACTACTTATGCTTTTGAAGTATTGTCATACATCAAAAAGAAAAATAGATTCCACCACACTGTGCAATAGATCAACTGTTCCCAAATGATATTATCATTGCAGAAGTTAAGATTTTCTCTTACCTGATAATAAAAGCTCTCCTTTCTCTTACATTCACCAGACAACTAAATGTGCTCCATTATATGCCATTCAGTTAACAGTATTTGTCTTAAATAGTCACCCGTAACCAATCTACCATTGGAATCACAGCAGAAGAGTGAAAATGGGTTAAGATCCCTGTAAATGTTCACAAAACTAAACAAACTGTTCTATTCATGTGGCTTGTTTACAGTAAATTTTGAAACCGGAGGTGGATGTGTCTCTTTACACATCTAAAATGTGCTTGTCATTGACCTCAAAATCTTGCCATCTTTAAGTTGCCATCACTTCTCTATGGGATGGTTCGGTGGCTGATGTAAATTGTCATAGATCCATTGACTTCATTTGACATCTAAAGATTTACACTAGTTGAAGGTATAGCTTTATCTAGAAGCTTCAGGGGGTAACTGACTCATTCTGTACAGGATAAACTTAAAAAAACCCCAAATAGTCAGATAGCACTTTAAAACTAACAAAACATGTAGATGGTATCATCCCACGAAAGCTCTCATGATACCATCTACATGTTTGTTAGTCTTTAAAGTGCTATCAGACTATTTGTTGTTTTTTTAACTTTAGCTTTATCTAGGTACCTAAATCCAGGCTACAGTGTGAAAGCTATTAGGTACTTCAGATGAACTTCTCATTCTATCAAAGTCAATGAGAACTCCTATTGACTTCAACAAATTAAAATGTATCCCTTAATGCCATGGTTACATTTAATTGTTTGGCATAATTTAGCCTCATAATATAAACCCATTGTTGAAATTTTAAATTAGCAATGTTATTTCCGTCTGTTTCATGTAGATGCTTTAGTGGAGAGAGAGCATACAGGGAACTGCTGCTTCCTACCACACTCCAGTGCCAGATCAGATGAACATACCTGTCAAGAAAGAAGATAACTGGTTTCTGTGCTGTCCACTGCCCACAGGGTTGTGTGGCTTGATGGGTTGAAAATCTGACCAGGCATCCACGGCCTGTATGCTATAGTATGTCATTGCAAACACAAGTGTGTGCACGTTTGCCCTGAAAGAACTTAATCCTACTCCACTTGCAGTCGACGGGGAAACCTTGATTTCAGAGCAAATAGGAGCAGTAAAGTGTGCTACCTAAATTGCTCACCCATCACTTCCTTGTGGCCCTGACTGCTCTGAGTCCCCATGCATGGCTGGCAGTGCTCCCTCAACTCACTTTACAAAAAACCGCTCTGGCTATCAGCATCCACCGATTTCACTCCTTCTGAACAGTTGTGCTGTGCCTACGTGCAGCATAATCTAGTCTCCTTTGAAGGGATGGCCCATTGTGTTCATGTGTAACAGAAGGATGATAAGCAGAACTATGAAGTGGACAATGTACCGCTGTACTCATGTGGCTCTCCGCCACCCCCATATTGATGATGATTATTTATTTGACATTGTAGTCAAATTAGGCGAGGTGCTCTCCTACCGGAGGATACAAAGGTTATCATTCCTATTGCACTGTACTAATTACTGATTGTGTGTTTAATACCGTGTGTAGGAACAAAAGAATTAAAAATAGGCAAGACTAGTAGCAAATACCTTTTAAATGATCTGAGATGTTTCATATACTTGGAAGATGTCACTCTTTATTCATAGCATTTTGTTACAAATTGCTGTACACAAAACACTACTGAGCATAAGTGGCTCTTCTGAGTTGCCATTTATCCTGCCACTTCATTACCGCTCCCTCTTGCAGACTGGTAATTAGAAGACTCTGATAGTAATCTGCAGAAGATACTCTTCTGTAGTCTTCCATCTTCCAGGTGAATATCCCTGGCAGTTTTATTACTAATTTGGAATTGCCACTGGGCCTGTCATGTAATTAAGTTACTAATGGAGTGGCTCAGCTGTCCTGCTTTCTTTGTGACTGTTTTTTCATGTTCGTGCTGTGGAATTTCTTCCTCTCAATTTTTCCCTGCACATGGTCACCCAGGCCTGCTGATGGGTGGGGGGCAATGGAAGCAGTTGCCCTGGGACCCGGTGATTCACAGGCAGCAGCAGTTCCTGGCCCTTTAAATTACTGCCAGAGCACCATTCTGGACAGCACTAAGGGCTAAAGGTGCTGTGCGCCAAGTGGTATTGAGACCTGGCTGACCTCTTCCCCACCCCTTCTGCTCTCAGCCCCACCCCATCCAGGAGCATAGAGCTGCCTCCTCCACCTTTCCCAGGGGCTCTAGGAGGCTGTCAGCTCCTCTGAGGGCACTGATGGGAGGTGAGGGGATAAGGAACAGCTGTCCCAGGGCCCCACTGCTAACACATCAGCTGCAGCAACTGGAGCCCTGGGCAGCACTGGCAGGGGAGCACCAACGGGCAGGCTATGAGAGGCTTGTGCTCTGCCTCACCCCCTCTGGGGGTCTGCAGCTGCTCTCCCCACCTGGACTAGGGTCCCAGCTATTGTGATGTCAACCCTATTTCTGGATAAATTCCTTCATAAAATCACATATGGGCTTTTTATTTGAAACTTCTCACACATTGGTTTGCAATCAAAGGAGACCACAGGTACAGATTTCTGGTAGTTACATGATTATTTAACTGGGATAATGATTACTGCATTTACAGTCGCATTGAGATAACGTTTATAGCCTTCTTTTAAATATCTACACAAGTCTCATGAAAACCATTGGATAGCTTTAATTTCAGTCCTGCATCACCTTTAACACAGACAAGGTTCCCAAAGACACTGAGAGTAGATTTGCCTGCAACAGCAACCTTTAGGTCTGTATAAATAATTCTGCTCATACATATGTTGTCTGTCATTTTAAAAATTCCTAAAGATGTTGCTTTTAGAGTATTCCTCAACTTAAGTTTGTTACATCAAAGAGGGTTGCAGTGGTGATGATTTAACAGAAGACTACAGGTGAAATAACATTCCTACTGAAGTTAGTGGGAGTTTTACCATTGTTTTTAGTGTGACCCAGATTTCTCCATATGACATTAAAGTGGGAAATAATCAACAGAAGCAGACGGCAAAGAAAATACTTATTTCATACATAGGATCCCCAGTAATAACTAGAATCCATTTAAAGGGGGTGGGAGAATAAACGCAATGCCTCTGAGAACATGATGAGATAATTCAGGAGAGAGATTCTGGACCAGAGTATGTGAATTCATTTGAATCTTGAATGGCTTAATAGGCCAGGAAAAGTCTGGACGTTCTTACAAAGGGTTTGTAAATGTTTTTGGTGTTGCACCTGGAGCGATGAATAGGTGCACTTTTGAAAAATGGACTATATTTACCCTCCTCTTCTGTGGTGCTGCAGGCTAGATTAATTATACATAATATGTATCATTTGTAAAGTGTAGCAGTTACTTGGAGGAATCCTTGATGGTTTTTGATGAAGTAATTGTTTTCATCTGTTTGAGTAAAGAGTTTACCATTTTCCATTGTTCTCTTTTAGAAATATTCTTTACAGGCTGGATGAAAAGATGAGCCAATTTTCTGTACTACTAGAGGCACTGGAGCACTGCAAGCTACATCAGTCAAATGAGACCCTTCAAGCAGCCTTGTCAAAGGTGCTAAACAGCATCAATTCAGCTCAGGTTTACTTCAAAGCAGGACTTGATTTGTTTGAGACTTCCTTTGCTGGAAAGAAATGAGAGAACTCTCAGCAGCCTAAGAAGTTTGTTTACAATTCACTAAGCAAAAGTTCGAGCTGGACCAGAATTTCTTTAAGATTTAAACCTTTTTCAACTTTTTTTTCCAGTTGATATTTAAAGGTACGACAGTGTATGTACTAATAACTTTGACAGTCTTTTGCACTGTTCACAGTATATCCCAAATGTCTCTTTGAGAATGTGTAAAAACATACTAAGAGGGGAATAACACTCAAGATTTGTTTTTTTAGAAGGAAATCTGCTGTATTTTTATATGTAAAATATATTTTTATGACTAGGGCTCAGTCTTGCAAAGTGCTGAACACTTCCTGCAAAATGCAAAGGGCCTAATTTTTAGAGGTGTGGCACACTCCACTGTACGTATATGGGAGCTGTGAATGCTTGGCACCTCAGCATAGCATGACTTCATTCTCTTCAATTTCATTGGTTCACCCTTAAGTCCTCCAGACTTTCTGTACTTCCCCAACCAACCAGCTTGGTTCTTTCTCGTTTGTTTGGGGTTGAAGGATGTGGGTTCGTGCTATTGGTGTTCAGGTCCTGCAGGATTAAGGAGGAGGCACTTAATACTTTGCAAGTAGAGTCCGGCATTCTGAGACAATCCTTATTCCTGTGGATACATAGGCTGTGTCTACATTGGCACCCTTTTCCGGAAAAGGGATGCTAATGAGACCAGTCGGAATTGCAAATGCCCCGGGGATTTAAATTTTCCCTGCTCCATTTGCATGAACATGGCTGCCGCTTTTTTCCGGCGGATCTTTCAGAAAATAAAGCCTTTTCCAGAAGATCCCTTATTCCTGATTTTAAGAGGAATAAGGGATCTTCCGGAAAAGGCTTTATTTTCCGAAAGATCCCGTCTAGACTGGCACTTTTCTCCGGCAAAGCCCCAAGCCGGAAAAAAGCGGCAGCCATGTACATGCAAATGCCGCGGGGGATATTTAAATCCCCTGCGGCATTTGCAATTCCGAAGTGTCTCATTAGCATCCCTTTTCCGGAAAAGGGTGCCAATGTAGACACAGCCATAGAGTATAAATGTTACGTATGTTCTGGGAAGGTTCATATATGATAATCCTCTTTCTGAACAAGAGAAGGAGAATTTTAATGTCAATGAAAAGTGTTTGGGTTTTTTTTATATGAACAATTCAAATGATTCAGAAAGATTCAAATCAATTGATGGAATTGGCCAAAAATATTTTGAATGTTTATGAAATGAAGTGCCTAATCTTACAGAACAAGGTGTAATACTATCCTGGTTACCAATAGTGTCAACTTTTATAATAGCAACCATTTTCATAGAATGATAGAATACTAGAACTGGAAGGGACTTTAAGAAGTCATTAAGTCCAGTCTCCTGCATTCGTGAACCCCTTCAGTCCCAGAGTGGTATAAAGGAGCAATACTGTAAGTGAGAATCAAAAACCTAAAAATCCTAGGGAAGTTCTTAAAATACAAGGTTGATTGTTTCACTGGCAAGACCCAGGTTGCAGACACATAATAGTGCAATCACAGTTGTGGAAGCTACCCACAATTCTCACTCCACTAGAGAATCTGGAATAGCCAGGAGATGAAGCATATCATTTGTCTGAAACATAGAGTAGTGTTTCCCCTAATGGACAATCCCTTTCTGAGGGAAATGGTAATAACTCTACCATTGCTTAGCATGTAGTTCTTGATGGGTGAGGCGAGTACAGTTTTTTGTACTTCCCTGCACTACAGGGGTGAATGTAAGTGCTGACTGGAATGCAAGTCATTTAATTTTGCAAAACAGGTAATGGTTGGATCCAAGCTGCAGGGCTTTTTAAATCCATAAATAATTTTAAGTCCATGCAAGTCATTTAATTTTGCAAAACAGGTAATGGGTGGATCCAAGATGCAGGGCTTTTTAAATCTATAAATAATTTTAAGTCTGCACAATAAAATTTAGAGCATATAGAGAAATACAATTTTAACAATGATGACTGTGGAATTAGAGCTGCAAGAAAAACATGATCAGATTTCACTCAGACTTCCAGAGTGAAAAAATAGTTGCGGTCTGGGATCCTAAATAGGTTATCATTACCTGAAATTTGCCATGACAATAAAAAGAGGTGTTTCAATTTATAATGAAAATGGCCACATTTCTGTTTGTAGAAAAATTTCACCTGGGGAGAATTGCAAACATAATTCCACAGTTTGTCTAAAGGGTGCAACTTCATGAGAGTTCTGTATAAGAAGAGCATGTTCCTAAAGTGAAAACAGGGACTTTTATCACAACTCTCAGGGTATGTCTACACTACCCCGCTAGTTCGATACCCTCCTAGTTCGAACTAGGAGGGTAGTGTAGACATACCCTGAGTCTTTGTTTCCTCACATATTGTTCTTCAAAAATGTACTTCTATAGCTGCAATGATTTGCTGTAGAAGTATATTTTGATACACTTTTGTCACATTTCATCATACATTATTAACACAGGAAAGGGTTTACTCTCTACCTTTCAGCTGACACTAGGTGCTTCTAATACGAAGGGATCTGTCAGTTGGAAAGCAGATGAAGAATTTGACTTTCCAAACCTACTCTAAAGAGATGGCATGGCACTATTTTCTTCTGCCAAAGCACATCTCCTCTATCTCCTGGTTTCCAATAGCACCCATCACCATAATTTCTAAACAGCTGGAACTGTTGCATATGAACTGCGTGTCTCTATATTTTCCAACAGTATTTAACCATTGATTATATGCACTAGATTTGTATTGTATTTCCCAAGGAGGAAAAGTCTTCCAGCAGTGAGGTTAGCACCACTTTTTCCTTGAGTTACAGATTTACACAGGCTTGATCCACCTCACACTGATAAAGCAATCATTGACTTCAGTGGTCAGAACCAGGCTCCAGTAAAGGGGCTTAACATATAGACCAACACCTTCTTTGCATGTTTCCTTCTTCCAGGTGGGACTAGTAGCCCCTTTCTGGTTCTGAAATGTAAAATCCCCAAAATCTTCTATCAGTCCAATCTGCGTCATGTCCAATATTGTGTATATTGATGATTTTTTAGAAAACTGTCTCATTTGTTATAACTGAATCATTCCTGACTAACTTTCCTTTCCCCTCCCATCCTCTACTAATGTTAAACCATGACCAATTTTAAAATCACGGAACTTGGAGTATTCTACTACAAATAATACCATTATATCAAAATAACGATTATCTATAGCACCTGAAGGGGCATAGGCTTGGTATGTTACTAGATTCTAACACATCTTATTTTAGATGGGTAGGTGGGTGCTTACAAATAATTTTTGCACCATTTTACCTTTGAAAGGGTACTCTGGGCCATCTCCTGCCATGGTTTGTTACGTGTAGTCTGGTCAACTCAGGGAATTGATAGCAAGATAAGCCTCTAAATATGATTAATGAATTTCTAATTATAGAATCTTCTTTTAGTCACTTGTTTCAGATGAGGTAAGAAAAGGTATCAGTAAATTAAGTTTATTCAAACTAAATTCCATCTGGTATTGTGTTGAAATAAATGTAATGCCCTTTTAAAAAATGCAGTATGTTTGCAAACTCCTTGAAGGGTACTAAAAATATCTATTACCTTTTCATGAGTATTGATTGCCAAACCCGGCATAACAAATACATTGATTGCAAGAGACACACACTCACCAGGCCCAGAAATCCTACAGCTTGCAATATTTGTGTGGTGAGGCAGTTGATGATAAAAGGCTAACATGATTTTATTAGCGCATATTTTAGTGAGTCCATAAAGAACCAAAATATAATCAAGTCAGATGAATAACAAGTCTACCAAAGCTGGAATTTCAGCATTAACTTCACAATGAGCAATGAATTGCTTTTATCACCCATGAAAAACAAGCCCTTTTTTGTTGTATAGTATGCACATATAACTTGTATATTGCCTTTATCTTTCAAGTATTGTGCATATACTAATTTTTATACATGATACCCTCCCCACCCACATAGATAGAAGTGATACCCATGTGATAAATTTCAGAATGAATTTACCATCACTCTATCACTTTACCTTCCCTCTGCCCCTTATCACAGAGTCTAGAACTTGTTCAAATGTATGGAGCTATGAGGAAGGCAATGCAGCTATGCAATGGAACCAAATCCATCTCTCAGGTAATGATGTTTTTCTCCCTAGGAGTAGTTCTTCCATATAGGTTTTTTTTATCCACTTTAAGCATTATTATTGCATGCATTATTATTGCATGCCCATTATTATAATATTAATTTATCATTAACTTTACAGGGAATTGGGTATGAAAATCTCAACCTAATTGTTGGAGATTCCACAGACATTATTTTTTGGATCGATTGGACAAGAAATATGACTTGCAAGCCATTTAACTTGAGCGTTAAGGACTCATATTTTAATCTTTGGAGATCCCCTTTTCAATCCCTGCCCATAATCAAGTATTGTCATCACACAAACTAAGAGGCAGATATAGGGAAACCAGGAGGCACTAGGAAATCTAGAGAAGGATATGAACTCATAGGGGGGAAATACATGGAGATAGTTAAATATTCTAAACTACACATTTTCCTCCACACATTAAGAATTTGATAAAATTCTATGACCTGTTTTATGCAGGAGGTCAGACTACATGACCATGAGTCCTTCAGGTTTAAAATCTGTGGTTTATTTTAGCGAGAGAGTGTGTTACGTTTGGGCTTAGATACATTTTCAAGGCAGGGGTTAGAAGAGATGGGCCCATGCTCAAAGCCTTGTATTGTGGGCTATCAACCTTTGAGCTAAGGATAACTGGAAGTGACTGCATCTAAAGTATGTTAATGTTGCTCTGTTACTGTGGAAGAAGTTATTTCCTTTAACTCTCAGTGGGACTTCAGGGTACTCAGTAGCTCTTAGGGCCAGACCTTAACTTGGATTGGTGGCCGTCTGTCTGAATGGTATTCTCTTTGCTCTGATGGCACATTCTTTCCCACCCTAGTGCCTGCCAATTTAGGAGTTCAAAGCAAAGTCCAATTTGAGATATTTGAGGTCTGATTTTGCAGCATGCTTAGCATTAAATGGCACTGTGTGTGTTTAAAGCATGTATTCATTGACTGCAAGTGCCTCTATCAGTGGTCAACACTTCTGCAAGATAGACCCTAGGGTGCCACGGTCATGAACCCAAAAAATTAGGACAGTTAGTGGGCACTTGTGAAAAGTTTGGTGCTGAGCAAGTAATTGCAACTAGAAAGGAACATTTTTTCAGAGACAAGGATAAAATCGAGTTATCCAGGACAGCATCCAACTGCTTTAACCATGACTCTGTACTTTTTCCTCTCACAATTGACTGTATTATTTATTATACATCTCCCAAAACTAATGAAGTATAGAGTTCTTACAGACAGCAGCCTCCTTCACTACCCAGCCCTGATTCATCCCCAGAGCTATGCACTGAAATCCCATGGGAAATTGCATGGTATTAAAGACTGTTACATAATGCATATAGAATCATAGAATACTAGGACTGGAAGGGACCTCAAGAGGTCATCGAGTCCAGTCCCCTGCCCTCATGGCAGGACCAAATACTGTCTAGACCATCCCTGATGGACATTTATCTAACCTACTCTTAAATATCTCCACAGATGGAGATTCCACAACCTCCCTGGGCAATTTATTCCAGTGTTTGACTACCCTGACAGTTAGGAACTTTTTCCCTAATGTCCAACCTAAACCTACCTTGCTG